TTGTACTTGTATAGAACACTTAAAGTATTGAATATTCTTATTCCCGAACTTTGAAACTAGATTTTAAGTAACTTAGATTTATGCCATGCAAAGCCGGAGTGTGCAAGTAATAATAACATATAACAAAGTTTAACATAATACGTATATAAATTAATAACTGGTTTAGCGAGGTGGATCTCATGTAATGAACCGCCAGTCGATTCAGTTCAGTTGCCTGGGGCTTACGCAAGGCGATCGAAAAACTTGTATCCATTCGGGTCGAAAACTGAGTCATCATTGCACCGCTGTTGTATAATATTATTATTTTTTTTTAATTTGAAAAATTGGCTCGAGCAAGTACTACATCTACCAGGCCTTTGCTTTTTTTGGGCTGGATGAGCCACTGTTGGCCTTAGGGGCCTTTACAGATCCGACGGGCTTGAGGTGGCCCAGCGCACGGGGCGCCTAGCCTGAACCTCGGCGACCTCGACCTTTGCGGTTGTTGATGTCTTATCAACTACTCTTTACTACTACTACTAGTACACTACTACAACTACTTAATGCCCTCGGTTAGCGCACTCAGAAGAGGAAACGCAAAACTATAAGACTTCCACTTCACGTCGGTCTTCTGATGAGCCCGCCCATTCTTGCAGGTCTAAAATATAAATACAAAATGTTAAATGGAAGACAATAGCAGTCTCATTTCGAGTTATTGGGAGCGTCAATCGAATGCGGATAATTGTCGAATTACATTGGAAACCTTTGTACAGATCCATTATTAACATTAATATTCGTAAAACTTTCTTATTTTTACATTTAAAACAATGCTTGTTTATATCTCAGTCACGTGAGATAAAAATAAGGAGTTTCAACATTGCCCGCCTGTCTTATCAGCTAAATAACGAGGTTGGTAAGTAAACGAAATAAAACATTTTAATTACATTCTCTCAATAATTATGTGTTTTCTAGTAGCCAATGTATTGTCCTTTTACTAAGGTATATTAAATCTATATGTATATAATTCTTCTGTGCGTGTGTATGTCACTGAACTAACGGCTTCCTAAACGGCTGGATCGATTTTAATGAAATTTTTTGTGTGACTTCAGGTCGATTCGAGAATGGTTTAGATTAAGAATTCGGTCCACTACATTTTTTTTATAAGTCTTGTGAACAGGACAACGTCTGTCAGGTCCGCTAGTGTAGTATAATTATGCGATTCAGAAGGACACATTAGACGTCAATAAGAAATTCAATTAAAGTTGTATGCTTGGCGAAGTTCCGACTTAAATGCTTATTAATAGAACTATACATGACATAAAGAAATTCAGAATACTAAAATAAAAAAAAAATCATAGCGAATTTAAATTTTTAGACGTTCAACACAAAATCGTTTTCATTGGCCCTTGAAACCAACAGCACGGGGCGTATTGAGAAATCATTTTCTCAATACGCTTCTCTATTTATTGAAACTAATATCATCTAGCCAAAAGATTAGACAGTTACAATATATTTAATTTAGTAATCTCACAGCACATTAGTTTTTATTTGTCGCTAGAAAAAGTTATAGTGAGTAATATCTTGTCACGTCTTGAAGACGTTTTGTCTATTCTTGTCGAGATTTAGTTTTTGAGGACACTTTTATAAAGTCGTCGTTAAGCAGATTAAAAAAGCAATAAAATATAGATACCTTACAATTAAAGGAAATAACATTTAATTCACTTAATACCTTGTTTCTTTGAATTTTATGCAATAATCGACAAAACTTATTCCATTTCTGAATAATTTCTTAAGATTATACATACTCTCGATTCTTTACCAAATTAAAACATACACATCATCCCTGAACAGAATACAGTAAAATTTTAATTCACTTTTAAACTTTTATATATAACCTATATTCACAATCTGTAATTTTATACAACAGATTAAAAACAAATTTGTATTTTTGACAAAATTAAATTCTAATAAGCTAATTAATTTTTTGATTTACTATTAAATCGTTTTATAATATCACTTAAGCTGGAGTTGTTGAGTGTAAACGATCAGATGATAATTTTAAACCATAAATATTGTAATTAATATGGTGTTTTAGTCATCACAAACGAGATCTAGAATATTAAGTTGAAAATTTATTGGGAAAATCTGCAAATTGCGTTGCAAAAATTATTGAATCTTGACATTGAAATAGTTTTAAATGCTGTCATTTAAAGCTTTTTATAAATAATGTGAATTATGAGCTTGTTTGTTAATACAAATAATATATTATTGTGATTCCAAAATGAAGCATTGATCTACAGCTTTACTCAAATAATATTGACAGTTGATTTAGATTACTTTCTTATTACACTCACAGAGATAAAAGAATAAAATAACGATTAAATAAGTAAAAAATATATGATTATAAAAAGGTTAATCTATCCGGGGACACCACAATGCTTTTTTCGTCGCAGAAACATGAAAGGCGCATCATATTGCGAGCTTATTACTTAATAACGTATATTAAAATTCAATGTTAAATATGATATATATTATCTCTCATATTTGCTATAAACAGGGATTATAAGATAATAAATGGTGGAATTCATTCGGGAGTTCACAGCTAAACTAAGTTAGCCTATGCTAACATAAGCAATGTATCAAATATTTCTTTAAATTAACGTTACATCTTAAAAAGGTTAAAGCATCCATTATGATTTACGGCAAAGAAATAATGGGTTATTTATATGGCACTATTATATTTTTACATAATGTTATTATGTCATTAACCTCACTTTTATATAATAAAAATTATAGAATACTTAATGAGATATGGCTTTCCATTTCCAGTCACATTGTACAATAGTTATGTTAAACGCGCGCTGTGGTGGGTTAAATTATGAAGGAAAAAAAAGAATAACTCAGCCGTCGAACCCTCGTCCATTTATATCGTCACCGGTTTTAATAACTGGTCTCTTATGAAATTCTGCAGTTCGGTGACAACATCATTTATACGAATTCACGTTAGCTTAGGCCCGCATTCGACTTGTGTGAATACTGGGCGAATGTAGACGTTGGTCCGTGTCAAACGCTCTAATGGAGGTGGCAATAAGTTTCCGACAGTAGGGAAACGTTCGCGGAACATTATTCATCATCATCATCATCATTTCAGCCTGTTTGAGTCCACTGTTGAACATAGGCCTCCCCCACAGACTCCCACGAAGCACGATCCTGAGCCACCTGCATCGATCGACTTACCGCACATATGCACAGGTCGACCTAAGAACCTCTCCCATCGAAACATTGTGACTGTAAAATAATATCTCAGGGCTGCGATAGTGCCGTGGCACCTTTGTTGTCAGTAAATCCTCATTATTGTCCAATCCTCGGCAACATAATGTTTTAATCTATTTTCTTAATCTAAAGTTTCGGTGAGAGCCCCATAAGATTTTCTAGGCCTATAACACTCCGATATATGAAGATAATTGTTAACCAATCATGTTTTGTTTACATTATAAACATCGCAAATGTAAATGAATGAATAACTACCTATATGAGGAAATACACTTATAAGAGCGTTATAGTTATAGCGTTTTTTTTTTATTATTTCTTACTTAATATGAACACATTAAAATTATTGAAGAAAGTCGATGAAAAATCAATGGTGACGTAAGAAATTTCTGTGGATTTATACTGCTTATTAGAAACGGTTTTATGACAATAAACTATAACGCATAATCTTTATGAATTGCAGTATATCAATGTTCAATTCATTTCATTTTAGTGAATCATAAACACCATTTATATTCGACTACAAAGTAATTTCTAGAAATTGACAAAAAATGTCAAATGATTGTCCAACACATATGACATTTAAAATGACGCCATGATCGCACTTAAAAACCAGACTTTAACATATGTTGCGGGCGATTTAAAGGTTCGAGTCCATACCAAAAGGTCATCCAGAAAGTTGAACCTAACTCATCAATTATTGAAATTCTGTTTGTGGTTTGGCCGATCAAAAGGCACGTAATGAAGCACCGTTCGCTGTAAAAACCATCTGTTATTTTATTTATTTGGGTAAAAAATTATGACGCATCGCATTGGAAAAAGCTCAAAGAATATACAGCATTGGGCCTTAAAAATCCTTTTATATGCTCTTTTTCAATACTACTATATTAGTGAAAACTGTAAGATTGGACATTCTTTTGAATTGACCTTGACATTGACCGGGTTTGACTTTGACATTGGTAAATTTTAGACCAGTCAAAGGGAAATTAATATTATTTAAAATCATTGCCGCTCTTAGAATGTACTATAGAATTGATGATGCGTTATAGGTTGAATTGCAAGAAGCCCCAAATATTTAGGATATATATAGATTCTATATACTTAAGAAAACTGACTTTAATGCTAATCCGTAGAGGTAGAAAATGTTAAGAGTATTATTCTAACGTAAGTATTCTCTAAGAAGGGACTATCTGAGCTTTGGTCTCTGAGGAGAAAAACGAATAGTAATGGATGCAGATGAAGTCTTTGCATAAAACCTGACTTCTAAAAGAGATTTAGTCGTCTCCTAAACTGATGGCGTCCATTAGGCTTTAAGCACCTAGACCAAAAGGCAAGAATTAATGAGATCTTGGATGGAGAACAGATTGAAATCCTTGAAAAAGGCGTCGGAATAAAATTTCGAATAAATTCCATAATTATTACATAGTAACGCATTGGTCAAGTTGATCACAGAAATGTCATATTTGCATCGAATACTTGATATTTTGTGTTGCCGGGGAAAACGGGTATAAAACATTTTAGTTAGTTCTGTTATTTTCTTTTAATGAATTCGTTCGATGAATAATAACGCAAGAAACTTTTAAATGTAGTGTGAGATGCTTTGTCTATTTATCTAGGATCTATTATGATACGCGGCATTATTTTTACATGATACATTTTTCAACCTGATAAGCACGGCACGATTATTTCATTAGATGCTAAAAGAATGCTTTTTAAAGTGTAGAATTAAGACATCATTCGCAGAAATAACTTACCTTAGCGTTAAGTGAATGTGTCGAGAAGAATGAACAAAGAAGTATGACGGTGGACAGCCAATGGGCCGACATGTGTGATGCCGCCTCCATGTTGAAACTGGAAAGAAAAAAAAATGAAATAAAAATCAAGAAGTTTAATGAAATTATCGTTTTTTATCAAAACATAATTAATATAGATGAAAGCTTAAAATTAAACGAAATTACTGTTTCATTTTAAAAGTTAAAAAGTTATATTTAAAAACTATATAATTATAAGGATACATTAATATAAAGTTTAAGATACCGGAAGTGGTACAATGTATGAAAGTTATTTTCGTGTGTTTTTAAACGAAATCCTTTTTTAGAAACGAATATAGATGTTCCAAAACCTCATAAACACAATCTGTATGAATATAGATAGTTCTTTTAAATTTTTATGCTATTCTTGTTTCTTAGATTAATAAGAACCAACTTCCAAAAACTAGATCAGTTGAGATACTCAGATGTGTCAAATTGAAACAGCTCTTACATTTCTAAACGCAGCATGTGAGGTCGAAATGAAGGAAGTGAACTTGAAATCACTATTATTATTAGAATTGGACCTTCATGTAGTGATTGTTCAAAAGTCATCTATGACGGCTAAATAATTATAAAATACTTCTCCTTTTTTCACCAATCATGAAGGTAACACATACAAAACAATTAGACAATCATTAAAGATTTAAAAGGAATTAGATATATATATAGAAATGTCAGCAGAGACTATTTTATCAGAAATTAGATTTGATCGATAAAAATTTTAAAACTTTCAACGCAAAAAAAATCCATTTAATGATTTAAAATTGAACATGAGTTGAGCTAAAACCATAATTTTCACTTACAAAATTCGTTTTCAAAAAGATCTCTCAAGTACATGTTCTTGTGATGAGGATTGAAACTAATTTACTAAATAATAATCTAGATACAGCAATAACTTGGAAAAGGACGCTGTGAATTTAAGTTATGAACAAGTTTTATGAAGTAAACAAGCACGTGAAATATAATAGGGGCTTAGTAGATTCAGAGCTATTCAATTAATATAGATTATAAACATGTAATGCCAAGAGTATCACATTTAAATGTCAAATGTTCATTTTATCTTACAGAAAACATATCAAATTGGAACCTACGTCCTAATATCGTTAATATGTTTGGGCAATCCGATAAGGATAATCAATATCTGTATAACAAGCCTTTTTTAACGATTTTTGTGTGCTCCTAACTTTCAACATGACTAATTATTAGCCCGAACATACGCAGATAAATTGCTTCGACAGCCAATAATTAGGGCTGCCGTAAAGTTTAATATTTCATTCATTTGAAGATATCATTTTATTATGTGAGATATATATATATATATATCCATGGATCTAAACATCACCCGCCAACCTTTAGAAGATCGAAAGCCGGTTACCTCACTCACCAGACTAAACACAAAAGTACCTAAAACACTTCTACGTCGCGCTGTTCTTGCGAGTTTTTTTTTTTTATGGGAAAAGGAGGAAAACGAGCATGCGGGTCACCTGATCGTAAGTAATCAACAAAAGAAAATAGCGTAGCCGCTACGTGGCTATCCCATTTTAAAAAGCAAACTGTGTAGTGTTTTTAGATATTAAGAAGAAGAAAATAAGTTACATATCATTGACCGTGATAGCTCAGTGTCCAGGCGCCCGCCTTTAATTTAATGTACTCGATCAACCTGAGATCGATCCCCGGTGACAGCACCAATGAAATTGTCTATTTAAGTGCTGAATTATCGTAAAAAACATCGTGAGGAAACCGGCATGTTTTCGAAATAATAAAGAAAAAAAAAATTTCGAAGATATCTGAAGTCCGCCAATCCGCAGTGGAGCCGCGTGGTGGACTATGCCCTGATCCCCTCTGTACAGAGGAGGCCTTTGCCCAGCAGTGGGACATCTATAGTCTATACTTTACTTAACTATATCATTGAGAGCCGAGGCTTACGGATTAATAGAAGACTAAACATTGTGATGTATGAGTTTCATTACTCTTCATTGACTGCAAAACTTTTTATATACACGAAAAGATAATTATTTTCGATGAACAAGAAACAATCGCATCGTGTGTTAAATCTAGAAAAGCTGTTAAACATCATCTTTAATATCTTTTTTAGTCAAGATCACTGGCAACCCTAAGAGCTCCGTCTAAGTTTCCGTTAAAAAGTTTAAAGGCATAGATTATTTTGCACCACGCGCCGCGGCTCGCTCGTGCGACCCATAAATAAATAAAAAGCACGTTGTCGGGTCGTCGGACTGGGCACAAAAGGACGATGTCTCTTCTCAGAAACGGCCGGGGCGAAATGTTAATAAAGCTCTCCAGTTCGCCTCCCGTGCGGTTTCCGCGTTGTTGAACGCCGAGCGGTCGAGTGTTGCCAGAGGGGAAAATCAATTTGCGAGATTTTGAATTCGGATAGGTGAAACACTGATCACCTCTGACGCGACATGCTAATCAATTTAAACTGTTATTGATACTCAACTGAAATTGATATAAGCAAATAAAATAAATATTTTTAATCTATAATGTTTTATAACTTGCGATAATAAGTTCTGATTAGCAGGTTTAGTGGGTACTTTATTTCTTAATTTTTAAGTTTTTATTATTTTCGTTAATGCTAATCAATACTGGCAATTCTTCAAACGTGAAATCCTTTTTTTAAAAGTTCGCCACGAAATCATAATTATACAGTCTAAATTAGCTTTGTTATTTTACAAATTTTTTATTACAATTATTTACAAATCATCATTACTCTGAACTTTGTCAGATATAGACTTGTCAAGCAATTCACATAGATAAGATAGCCACATATACTTGTAAATATTATATAATAAAACCGTATAAGATTCCCATATGCCAACCAGTTTAGCAATTAGTTATCTTGGGAATCGTTTTTGTTTGGAAAAGAATCGAATGAAGAGTTCGAGAATGGTCATCTTTTTTAAAATTTGATTCGGACGCGGAAATAAGTATGCCACGGAGTGCATGCCACATGCGTCGATATACCGTATGCATGAATTATTCATTGTCCAAGTGCGTTTATCACATTGATATAGGGCGGTGCATCCAATTAACTTGATTTAGGACCCTGAGAGCGTGTTGCGGTAATTTGTATTTGCATAATATATATTTGGCGGTCGATCAAAGCAATACTTTGGGAGAGAAGGGGGAGGGAGGGGTTCGGTAGTCCCGTTAGTATGGTTGAAACGCGTGCACGTGTAAAAAATGACAAGTAAAAACCCTCTCGCAAGATAAGTTTTCCGTTCAAGCCACTTTGCGAACGCGCAAATGTTACACCGATCCGCAAATGTATCAATTCGGAGATGTCATGGATGTCTCACTAAAACCGGTTTAATAAAGCCTTGTCAGCATTTAAACATCCAAAGGTGTGGTAGGGCCACGCTCTTCTTTGTTGTACAAATGGGCAGGTTCGACCTCACAGAAAACCGGCGTGAAGAGGAAGTGTTGTACTTCTGCGTTTCGCCTGGTGTGTGAGGTAACCGGGGGTCCACTTTATAACAAGCGTCTGCAAAACTACACTTACGGTGTTGTAAAATGTCTAAATATGCGGCAGTCATCACTTAACATCAGTTGAACCGCCAGCTCGGTTGCCATCATTTTATATAAAAAAACAGACACAAAGAGGCAGAATGTAATAGTCAATTTCGTTTTTTTAAATAAAAACGTAATTTATCAGCATCATTCCATCATTCAGGCTCGTACTTGGGACGTTCTGCGCTTAATAAATTCCACGCTGTCCGATAGCATCACAAAGAAATTGCGCCTCGGAATGAACGGCTTGTCTTGGATGACATATCGACTGTATTAACCCCTAAAATTACCTTCGGCCCCGGTGCATTGTAAAAGTTAATCGTCTGTCATATTCAAGGACGCCGTTAAGAGGGCGTTGAAAGAAAATGTAGAGAGGGGGACATTTTATGCAGTTACTAATTTAAGCTTTAATACGAAAGGAATGTTGCTTATCGTCACTATTTTCTGTTTGATACATCGTGACCAACTAGTTGTTGGTTCACCTGATGCTCAATTACCACCTATGCTGGACAATGGACCGCCACGATAAAAATAGGGGTTTATTTTTGTGTATTAACTACCTTGCTGCATATAAAGGATGAAATCTAATAAATGCTTTTAAATATACGAAATTTATAAAAATTATATTAAAACTTTCTATAAATTCAACCGAGAATTGTTCAAATACATAATGTACTTGAAATTAACACTTCAAATTAAATTAATGAGATTTATTTACATAACCTAGTTATGTCTTTACTGTTGGATGTTGTTTTGAATATTCCTAATATCATAAATAGCGACATACTCTAGGCGTATATTCAGGAATGTTTCATAGGTAAGAAATGTTAGAATCGGTTGGTAATATTGAATTAATACAGTCTTTTTAATTGGTGTTCGCAAGGAGGGTTGACATCAAGCAGGCGAGCGGTTGAAAAAACCTAGCCAAAACCACTTACAACATTATTCGCATGATGATGATGACATAATCTTGTTTAAATATTTATGGGTGTAACATTTTCTATGAATTGTTCTAGTGTTATAGTGTAATCTGTTATTTTGAAACTATAAACTTTTTATTGAACAGTTAGGCAAAAGCTTACTATGGAAGCCTTAAAAACGCTTTTCTAGACAAATTGTGGTAATAAATAACGATTTGAATATATAAAATAGCTTAATTTGACAATGTGTAATATTCGTGTAAATATAGGCTTCATAACTGTTGTCCGGAAAAAAGCAATTATTTAGTTTTGCTTAAGCCACGACCGATATGTATGTATTTCTGCTGAAATTCTCGCTCGATAATTCCACAACTTTATACATTTAACTTTATTGTTTAACATTAAGAGCTGTGTCGCACATTATGTTGTGCTTTTATGGATTTTATTTTTGAATGGACCAGAACGGTAAACGCTATTGACAATCGTTAAAGAGCATGGAATGTAAAGTCAGGTTACGAAACGGAAGTGACTTCGGATTGCGTTCGGAATTTAAACGTTCGGGGAGCTTTTTAATGCTAATTCTCT